CTGTAACAAAGAACTATTGCGCACAATGGGACCATTTGAGGCTCGATAATGGTATTCTTCTCCGGAGATGGGAAAGTGACGACCTGGCAAACGGTTATACCGAGAAGTTACGGGAAGTTGTGCTGCGTCAATCCCATGATACTGTAACAGGAGGACATCTCGGAGTTAAGAAAACATTGAGTCACCTACGCCCAGTAAAATCTGGGTATCTTGTCTCATACCTACTGGAAGAATGGTGCAGAACATGCAGTACATGTTGTGCTAAAAGGGGACCCAAGCATAAGGGACGTGCTCCAATGAAGTTATATCATGTTGGTGCACCAATGGAAAGAGTAGCCGTCGACATTGCTGGTCCTCTGCCCCAAACTCGTGCTGGAAACAAATACATTTGTGTGGTAATGGATTATTTCACTAAGAGTATTTCAATGTTACTACCGAGATTCTTTGTTAAAGAATATTTCAATGTAACTACAGAGTTTCTTTGTTAAAGAATATTTCAATGTAACTACCGAGTTTCTTTATTAAAAGCGTATTTCAATGTAACTACCGAGATTCTTCTTTACGGAGTATTTCAATGTAATTATTGAGATTTTTATTCAAAGAGTATTTCAATGTAACTACCAAGTTTCTTTATTAAATAGTATTTCAATGTAATTATTGAGATTCTTTGTTAAAGAGTATTTCAATGTAATTATTGAGATTCCTTGTCAAAGAATATTTCAATGTAACTACCGAGTTTCTTTGTTAAAGAGAATTTCAATGTAAATACTGAGTTTCTTTGTTGAAGAGTATTTCAATGTAACTACCGAGTTTCTTTGTTAAAGAATATTTCAATGTAACTACAGAGTTTGTTTGTTAAAGAATATTTCAATGTAACTACCGAGTTTCTTTATTAAAAGCGTATTTCAATGTAACTACCGAGTTTCTTTGTTAAAGAGTATTTCAATGTAACCACCGAGTTTCTTATTTAATAAGTATTTCAATGAAATTATTGAGTTTCTTTATTAAAGAATATTTCAATGTAACTACCGAGTTTCTTTATTAAAGAGTATTTCAACATAACTTCCGAGTTTCTTTGTTAAAGAATATTTCTTTAACAAAAAAACTCGGAAGTTACATTGAAATACTCTTTAACAAAGAAACACTGTAGTTACATTGAAATACGCTTTTAATAAAGAAACTCGGTAGTTACATTGAAATATTCTTTAACAAAGAAACTCGGTAGTTACATTGAAATACTCTTTAACAAAGACACTCGGTATTTACATTGAAATTCTCTTAAACAAAGAAACTCGGTAGTTACATTGAAATACTCTTTAACAAAAAATCTCAATAATTACATTGAAATACGCTTTTAATAAAGAAACTCGGTAGTTACATTGAATTTTTTTTTAACAAAGAAACTCCGCATTTACATTGAAATATTCTTTAACAAAGAAACTCCGCATTTACATTGAAATATTCTTTAGCAAAGAAACTCAGTAGTTACATTGAAATATTCTTTAACAAAGAAACTCAGTAGTTACATTGAAATACTCTTTAACAAAGAAACTCGGTAGTTACATTGAGATATTCTTTAACAAAGAAACACTGTAGTTACATTGAAATATTCTTTAACAAAGAAACTCTGTAGTTACATTGAAATACTCTTTAACAAAGAATCTCAATAATTACTTTGAAATACTCTTTAACAAATAATCTCTATAATTACATTGAAATACTCTTTGAATAAAAATCTCAATAATTTCATTGAAATACTCCGTAAATAAGAAACTCGCTATTTACATTGAAATTGTCTTTAACAAAGAAACCCGGCAGTTACATTCAAATACTCTAATAAAGAAACTCAGTAGTTACATTGAAATACCCTTTAACAAAGAACCTAGGTAGGTACATTGAAATATTCTCTAACAAAGAAACTCGGTAGTTGCATTGAAATAATTTTTAACAAAGCAAGTCGGTAGTCACATTGAAATACGCTTTTAATAAAGAAACTTGGTAGTTACACTGAGATATTCTTCGACAAAGAAACTCGGAAGTTACATTGAAATACACTTTTAATAAAGAAACTCCGTAGTTATACTGAAATATTCTTTAAGAAAGAAACTCGGTAGTTATACTGAGTATTTCAATGTAACAACCAAAATTCTTATTTAATAAGTATTTCAATGTAATTATTGAGTTTCTTTGTTAAAGAGAATTTCAATGTAACTACCGAGTTTCGTTATTAAGGAGTATTTCAATGTAACTACCGAGTTTCTTTGTTAAAGAATATTTCAATGTAACTACTGAGTTTCTTTGTTGAAATGTAACTACCGAGTTTCTTTGTTAAAGAATATTTCTATGTAACTACAGAGTTTCTTTGTTAAATCAGATGGACAGTTATGTGACACAACCTTCTTTAAACTTAAGTCAGGTGGTTACTTATGTTATTATTTGTTCTTCTGCCGATACATCAAAACCATTTTTATTGCTTCAGAAATGATGTACAAAAGTAGATTCTTAGTAAAAAAATAGCTTTACAAGTTATAAGTAAAGAGCCTTTTTCAACAGTTCCACAATGAAAACAGAGAAAATACCTAAAAATATAAAAACCATTCAGCTCCTGTCAATAAACTTATAGAATTAGTAAAATGGACAAACCAAGTAGAAACTAGCTTTCAAGTAAACATGTTATTCACCAAATTTTATAACAACTTAACATCATTGTGTGCATGTGTGTAATCATATACATGCATGCTTCAGGGCATCTCAACCAAATAAACAAACATCAGTGTTTTTCATAGCTACAACATAAAACTATTACAAGTGTTGTAAGAACTGGTTTTTGTTTAAATCACAACCAATCTGAACAACAGGTCAATCCTCCCTTTGACTCCTTGTGTTTCAAGATGTATACAGAGCATTATATTTCAATTACAAATATTAATTAAATAACAAACAGTAACATCTGCTCATTTATTAACCTAGCACCATTCGTAATAAATGACAAACATGCATCCTGCTTAACAATACAATTAAAACATTGTGATGAATATGTATCCTGCTTAAAAATACAGTTCAAATACATCATGATGAATATGTATTCTGCTTAAAAATACAGTTCAAACATACTAATAAATATGCATCCTGCTTAAAAATACCAAAATGCAGTTCAAACATACTAATAAATATGTATCCTGCTTAAAAATACAGTTCAAACATCATGATAAATATGTATCCTGCTTAGAAATACAAAAATACAGTTCAAACATCCTGATAAAAATGCCATTTGAAAAAATCAATATTTATACATCTTGTTACTTCTTTTACTAAACATAAACACATTTTTCCTTCTGACATTAAAAATAACAAGTACAATCATGGATTGAATCACAAGTAAGTTCCTGAATTATGGTTTTTACAAATAGGATCTTAAAACCCCTTTCGTTTTTTGTAGCTTCACACAATCCTATAGACACCTCTCATGTAATGACATGGGATTCCTGAACTTTCTCCTTTTGGCTTTAGATACACCAAGTAGGATCTTGCAAGCACTTTCCTGGAACCATCGTTTCAATAAAGCATTTCTGGAACTCAGGTGGCTAAGATCTATCAGTTTTGTTTGGTTAGCTTCTTTTTCATACTTGGAAAGAAATAAACAAGATCAAGGAATCATTAGCTTCAAATTTTGTAATAAATATGTATGTTCATTCTAAATCATTATAAAATATACATTCAACAGGAATGAGAACACCAAACAAAACTTTTGACTAGTCCCAAGTCCCAGATCATGAAGGCTGGAGATCTGTGGTGAAACAATCACCTATGTTGTGAAATATTAATAAGAAAATTATTTATTTAATTTTGAAAGTGACTAATGATGAATACATTGTATCTAACATAGGAATGTAATGTGGAACTTACAAGGCAACAAACAACTTCAGTGGTCAGCAACACACGTTTATTTAAAGGCAAGATTTCAAAATGGGAATGTTACAATCACGTGGTTTGTTTATTACTACAAACAGATGCCAGCAAATCAAGAAAGTTGAAGGGATGTTTAAATACAAGTTTAGAAATATGTGTGTGAAAAATAAAAGAAACTAGAGCCCTCAAAGTTGTTTGTTGCTGCTAACAACACGTGCAAGTCTAGCTGTTGAGTGGACTTGATCTTTGTGCTCCAAAGAATTTCAGTTACTAGGCTCAAGGAGATGTGTAAAATTCTCAGAATTAACCTATAATCATAGTGCTGTGTGCAAAATAGTTAAGCTGAAGTTGGAAACACATCTTTAAGTCATGATTCTGTTTTGAAAACAACACGAACATCTTGCCTGTTTGCTATGCAAGTCAAAGAGTGAGGTGTCTCTAAGTGATCTCCATATCATTCTAGGTATGGTTGCCAAAAGTCCACACACTTCTCGTAGATTTGAGCTTCTATCTCTCTTACAGTTGTTTTAATATTTGTTACTATAACTTTTGGCACTGCTTCATGGTGGCTGGTTAAGACATATATGGTTGCTTTAAAAACTCTTACAATCCCAATTTTAGGGCACTAAATATTCACATTATTTGCCAGTAAACACCACAATATGTACTGGTAAATAATGTGAATATTTAGTGCTGGACCATCTTCACATCACCTTAAGATGGTCCAGCACTAAATGGTAAATAATGTGAATCACAATATCTACTTCACCTTAAGATGGTCCAGCACTAAATATTCACATTATTCACCAGTATACAATGTGTCACCTTAAGATGGTCCAGGTTGACATATAAACTGGTCATTCATGAAATATTGAGTTTGTATAAATAAGCTTTGGCTAGATTAACTTACTGATTAATCATTTACAAATAGAGTCTTTTAAAAGGCAATTATGGAATATTATGTATGTTCATGCACGAACCTCTGCTTATCCTACAAGACTTTTTTTTTCTCCTTAATTCTAAAGCAAACTGGTGTATACTAAGGGTTTGCTGTCAGTACCAGTACCGGTGGAATATTATGTATGTTCATGCACGAACCTCTGCTTATCCTACAAGACTTTTTTTTTCTCCTTAATTCTAAAGCAAACTGGTGTATACTAAGGGTTTGCTGTCAGTACCAGTACCAGTGGTACTCGTCATCCAGTACCATCAGTACTGGTACTGGTTTAGAGTACACCATGTCTTGAAAATAATATCTGTTATCACATGTCCCATCATTGGAGTTTTGACCGAATGCCTCCTCTGGTATTTCAGCTTCGCTTCTCACAAAACTACCACATCAAACATTTATAATTCTGAGTTTATACTTCAGTCGATAAGCAAATCTCTCCATGATAATCGGCAATAGCATGAAATATTGGAAACTGGTGACTCCCACACTTTGGAAGAGAACGTGAATGTGCCTACGTGACTGGTTGCATGTTAGGTAGGTGCATGTGTGATTAACCCTTAGCATGTATGCAGGTCAAACTGCACAAGTCATGACGCTTTAGTGAGTTACATTCAAAATTTAATGAAACTACTTAATTATCATGGTATACGAACAAACTTGACATCAAACCATAGATAATACATCAAATTTTAATATTATGTACGAGTTTTAAGTTCTTAGTTTTACTGTGCCTTGCAAAAGTCTTCACCCCCCCTGTGTTGCTAATAAAGTTTAGGACAAAACTCAAATGGCCAAAAATATCTATTATATTAATCTCAGACCAGTTTCTAAAGATTACAAAGAACAAAAAGTACATTGTTACCCAATTTAGTGATATAATACAAGAAAATCTTGAAAACATGTGTTACAAAAGTCTTCACCTCCCTCAACTTTTACCAACTTTACATCACTACCCTGGCTAAAAGTAAATACAAGTGTGCAACTGTACAACAAAGTATATTATAGAGCCACGTGAAAATTCCTTAGGTAATATAGAATCATCAGTATTGATTTAAGCAGAGTATTTTGAAAGTTAATACAGGTTCACCATTACTAGTCCGGCAATCAGTAATCCGGTACAATCAGTAATCTGGCACTAATTTCGGCTAGAACAATTTCAAATACAGTAAAGCAAGATACGCGCTATTAGGTAAATACTTTAGTCTCACTTGAAAGAATTAATTTGTAGTGTACCTGTGCCTGTATTTCATTAAATTTTTCACTTGAAGTTATTTGATAATTATCTTTTCTTTATTAATAAACTTGTACTGTTTTATGGGATATTTTAATTTTAAGATGAGGTGGTTAGCTAGTGGGTTTGGTGTATTCTAACCTAATAGATGGCTCATCCAGCACCCTCCAGGTCCCGATGATGCCGGATTAGTGATAGTCAACCTGTATTTGGTTTACTTTTACATATTGAGAATGATGAGAAACAAACTCTTTACAAAGCTAAGGAAGTAGATTGTTCAGAAGCACAAAATCCCGGAGAAGGCTATAAATTAATTTCAAAGGTTCTCAGTTTGCCATTAAGTACTGTAAAATTGGTTGTGAAGAAATGGAAAGTGTGTCACACTACTTCAACCTTGCCAAGATCAGGTCGTCTTAAGAAAGTCTTTGCTCGAACAAGCAGAAAAATCATCAGAGAAGTGACTGTTAAGCCAACAGTAACACTGAAGGAGATGCAGACTTCAATAGCATCAACTGGAGTTACTGTACACACCTCGACAATATTACATATCTTACACAAAAAAGGCTTGTATGGTAGGGTGGCAAGAAAGAAACCACTACTGACGAAGATGCATCTTAGATCGCGAATGGACTATATCCATAAACATTTCAATAACCCTACAACAACATGGCAGAAAGTTCTCTGGTCAGATGAGATCTAAATAGAACTTTTTGGGTTAAATGACAAAATGGCATGAATGGCGGAAACCCAACACTACTCATGACCCAGCAAAATATACACAGATGTTGGAGGTAAACCTGAAGAAGTCAGCTGAAAAACTAAAACTCGGTCACAGGTTTACATTTCAACAGGACAATGATTCCAAACACAGATGAAAGGCAACCCAAGAATGGTTTTGGAGAAACAAAATTAAAGTCCTTGACTGGCCAAGCCAAACCCTAGGCCTAAATCTACTCGAAAATCTGTGGAGAGACTTGAAGATAAATGTGCATTGAAGACATCCTTCCAACTTACAAGAACTGAAGGATATCTGCAAGCAGGTGTGGGCAAAAATATCTCCAGCATACTGTGAAAGCTTGTGGATGGTTATCCTAAACGATTTCCAGCTGTCATTGCTGCCAAAGAAGCTTCAACCAAATGTTAACTGCATAATCATATTAGGGGTGAAGACTTACAACACGCGTTTTCAAGATTTTTTATGTAATATCACTAAAGTGAGTAACAATGCACCTTTTGTTCTTTGTAATCATTAGAAACTGGTCTGAGATTAATATAATAAATATTTTTTGCCATTTGAGTTTTGTCTTTCACAAGAAAATAACTAAAATTGATTACCAGCAAGGGAGGGGGGACTTTTGCAAGACACAGTATAAGGAAATATTTAAAAACAACCTCAAATTCCCCTAGTGTGAGAATTTGGATATTTGTTCTTAAGCCGTCTCCTCTTCTGGATTTTTTTGTCCATCCCTCGAAAACTATGAAATGTCTCTCATTGATATTTTGAAGCTATATTTTTATATTCTTCAATCTTATGGGTCTAATGAGCAATCAGTGAAAATTCAGAAATCACTTTCCGTGCCTACCTCTAACATGCTCTAATTTACAAATTGCTAATAAATTTTTCTGAGGCTGACTCCCACTAAATTTATAACCAATAGAAAACCTAGATTTCAACTGATCCATTGCCATAGTCACCATTACCATGTGGGCTTACAGATAATTGACAATTTAGTTTCATGTGAAAAATACTTTTCCCACGAGAACACACCGGGAAGAATAGTTGAATATCTAGCTTCTCAAGTCACACGATTAGAAATGCTCGAGCACTGGTACCGACAATCTGGTACCACGAGTACTATTGCAAACCCTGTGTATGCTGGAATTTGTAAGCATTAGAACAGTAAAAGATAAAAGTTGGTAGTAATGTTTTGTGTCTTGCATTTAATTATGAAGATGTCTTACTACGTTATAAAGTTTAACTGATATAAAAGCAGCCTTTTTTGGTTTAACAATATATATATATATATATATGCTAAACATGAATGTTATGAAATTAATGTAAAACTTTGTGATATCAATAAATTCTGCATTTTAACATGTAATCAAGGTCTTTGGATCAATGCAAAATTATAACATATTTTATGATACTTTTATAACAACCTATGAGACTAAAAGTAATGCTAGAATATGTGACATTTGTAACAACAACTGCTCCTAAACTATCTGCCATTGGACTTGAAGGAGTTTGTCAATTTGAGATGTTTAAATTCATGAGATGTTTTGAGACTGGGGGAGAGGCTAATGGTCAATTAATTAGTTAGTGAAAAGCTGCCTCATATATCGAGATATTCCTAGATCAATCTTACTAACACTAGTATTTTGTCTTCATTCATTTTTTATCAGTTTTGGATGACATGGGTAAATGACCAATGTGGCAGTACAAATAGTAGCAAATACTCATCCCTGATGACAACAGCTTTAACTAACAAAAGAGTAAGATTTCTAACCACAGTAAGGAAACATATGGTATGCAAAAAACATCTAACACTTGTCACCTACCTGAATATCAGCAGCCAAACCCCTAATTAACATTTTTCCACACATATTGTAAATCCCAAAATGTCCTCAAAACCAGTTTATCTAAACTAAAAGCACATTTATGTCACCTGCCAGTAAACTAAGTAAACAAAACACTCAAAAAGTTCCAAAGTTAATTATATCCTTATTTAGTTGATAACACAGATCTAAGCACTGTGGCTATATGTTCACACATCATATAGTTATATATTAAAATAAATATGGAATATTTTTCTCTTTTATGATGTTAAAATTTATATCAATAACAGTAATACCCTTGAAAGTATGAAAGTAAAGTCATGATAACAATCAAGACTAACCCAACATACCTACATGCCCATAAGTTATAAAACTATTGTCAGTCATAAGCTATAAAACTATTAAAATCATAAATAATATTCAATGTTAAACTGGTACACAATTAAAAACATTTTATTTAGGCTTATCTATGGCCTTCAAAAAGTTGATGACTCTACATGTTTCGACATTACAACGTCATCCTCAGGAGTGAATTACAAGACAATTGCCAAAGTATTTATAGCTTT